ATGCTACAGAAACTGGAGATAAGTGCCGTCCTGATTGGCCACTTGGCTCGAATGCAAACTCTACCTACACCAAAATCTCCAATACAAAATGTAAAACATTTCAGTCAGAGAGGGGATATTTCATATTAATATACGTTATGTCCTTCAGTCAATGTCATGGAATTTTGTTTATTTTCTTACTACTAGAAGAATGGATACAAGCGTCAATGATGATCAATGGCATCACATCTGCTCAACATGGGAGAATACCGCTGGCTCGTGGAACTTTTACATTGATGGCTCTCTCTGGCGAAATGGCGATGGTTTGCAAACAGGACACGTGGTCGACAACAACGGCATTTTTGTCCTTGGTCAAGATCAAGATAGTTATGGGGGTGGTTTTGAGCAATATCAAAGCTTCTTCGGTCAGATGTATGGTGTGAACATGTGGGACACTGTTCTGCCGGTCGACGAAATTTTGCGCTTGTCGACAAACTGTACTCATGGGGTTGGCAACTATCTCAGGTGGATTGATTTCGTGACAGGTTTACATGGAAATGTGACAAAAAAGTCTCCAGCTACGTGCCTGGTGTGAACTGAGCATGCGCATTTACTGATTGTTTGTCTCTATATAGTCTCTTGTTTGTATTTGTGCATATCTTCCCAACTTAGGTTACAATAGCTCGCATGTTGATGGTTAGAAAGCCGGCGCGAGCAGATATTATTTCTCTTTGTAGAACTTGTGGAACTTGTCAGTTTTATCAAAAAGTCTGTAACTCGACAAGATAAGTTCTCTTTAATTTTCCTCTTACAATAATAAGCAGTTCCTCATTTAAGACCACAATAAACTTTCCTTTGAATATAAATCTTTGCATTTTATGTAGGTATAAATGTAGTTGATCCTTAGTTTCACCTAATTTAGATGCTTGGAAAAAAAGGTCCGTTTACATAACATATATTAAAATGAATTAAAACGGATAAAGCGATACTTTACAATTTAAAAACAGCTAGGCTTTTGATTTTGCCTTAATTTATGTGAAGTTTATTAACTACCTTGGTTTTATATCAAGCTACACAGTAAATAACGTTAACCATTTACAATAAATGTACAAGTTTAAACTAGGAGATATATAATTAGATATATTACAGATATAAATGCCAAATCCGCCAAGATGGCGGATTTCCGTCGAAACAGATCGAAAATATATAATTCATATGTCACATGACGCATTTATTTCATCTAAACACTCTCTAAGTTTAATGACAGTAATTAAAATAAATCTGTAAAGCCTGGTTCACACTAGCGACATAACGACATAGAAAGGACGTTATCTCGACGTAAAAAGGACGTTATGTTTGTAGTGTGAACATTTAGACATAATGACATATTAGCAACATAACAGCATGAACATAACGACATAAAGATAAAACTGATCTTTTCCATATGTCGTTATGTCGTTATGTCGCTACTGTGAACCAGACTTAAGTTATAAAGCCTAGTTCACACGGGCGACATACCGACATAAACACATCGTCATAAGAGGGATGTTATGTCGTTAAGTTAACTTTGTAGTTTGAACATCCTGACAAAATGACATGATAGCAACATAACAACATGAACATTACGCAATAGGAAAAAAAAAAAACTGATCTTTTCCTTATGTCTTTATATCGATCGCTGGTGTGAATCAGGCCTAGCTGGAGCCCCAGGGGTCAGAATAAAGTAGTTTCTGAGGGTACGTTTCTTTGCGATGACCTCAGATCAGGATCAATGATCCAAAATCACTCGGATCATAATTCATCAAAGGAACCATTGAATCCTTGCCTAGGCTAGGTTCGTCGGATCTTTTGATGCGCAATGATCCGGGGGGAGGGATTCCATATATGGGCTATATGGGTATGTGCCGTGGGAAAGGGTAGGGTTTTTGAGGTTCTCGATTCTTTTTGCCCCAGTTGGCATTGGGTATCTATTTACATTCCCTTCGCTCTTCAAACAGGGTCAGGGTTTGAGACCCTTCGCGGCACACACTATACACAAATTTACGGAAGTACCCTCCCCTCTGGGGAAAGTGATCCGATTGATATTGGATCATTTATCCTGATCTGAATCATCACAAAGGAACGCACTCTGTTGTTCGCTTTGATCAAAATACACAAGGAATCTTTTTTGACCAGGGTCTTGTTTCGTGACACAACAAAGCAGCTTTCAAGTTTCTATTACGTTGCCACTGTCCCCAAGAGACCAAAGATACGCGCATGCGCATTTACACAACTGAACACTTTTCTACCACAAGAAGCGATTCCCAGACTTTCACTTCTTCCTTCGAGGTCAATGTCTTAGATTTCTTGACACAGGAAACAGTCAACAGTATGGCAGTGGCAAATATCATTATAGCACCAGCCATGTAGAACACTGGGTCATACGATCCTTGGAGATCTGCTACTAAACCTTTGAAAAAAGGGAAAAATCGCAAATAAATCTCATGAACAACATAAAACAATTTATTTATATGCTTTTTACGAGCCTTCTAATATTCTGGGTGGATAGTAGCGTGGTGACGCTATGCCAAAGTTAAATGTGCAGGATATAACCTCACATTGACAAATGCGAAAATTAACGGACAATATTCCAAAGTTCCCGGTGATCCCCCGAGGGCTAACAAAGGTTACTTTTTAAATAGGTTTAAAAACACCTAAAGGCTTCTGAAAATGCCACTAGCATTAACACAATCTGTCCAAGGCGGTTTAGTTCAATAAGTTGTCATCAAAATAAAAGAACAAATAATTCAAATGGACAAACAACTAACTTCAAATTGGCAAATAAATTCAAATTAGTACGGGATGTGACGGGGGAAAGAAACGGAACTAGCGTCCCAATTGCGATCTAACGCTCTGCTACACTCAACATGGACTTAATAAATACATTAAAAATGCTGTTGATTAAGAACAAAAGACCCAAACTGAACACGCAAGCGGATTTCATTCCCGCGAAACTTTTTACATGAATGTTTACGTGTAACGTTTGCTAATTTCATTTTCTCACATCCTAAAAACTATAAATATGTCTTGCCGTTAATTTTAATTTATTCATTCGACAATGATGACATGAAGTCGTCGAAACGTCATGTAACTTTGCTTACGTTAATTTTCCTGCTTAAAAATAAATACAAGCCAATAAAAGTGTCGAAAAAAATAGAAGATTTGATCAAATGATCATTTGATCACAAGGAGGATACTGGAGTTTTAAAAAGGCTTACCTCCTAGAGCCGGACCACATGCTGAAGTGACACAAGTTACGGACTGATAGACACCGAAACCCAGGGGTCTGAGTCTTTCAGGAAGACTGTAAAGCACTGCGATACTCAAACCGGAACCCATTGTCCCATCAGCTAAGCCGTATACTACAAAGTACGCAATAAAGTGAACATTTGAAGTCGCCATAGGTAAAAGGAGGGTAACCAAGCCTAAAATACCACTGGCCACAGAATAAATGTATATCATGTTTATCCAGCTGAAGTCATTCAATCGACCAATCGCAGGTCGCACTAGTAAGGAGGCCACTCCACTGTAGATGTACAGACGGGAGGCGACTACCTCTGAAAAACCGACCTCTTCCAAGTAACGAACCTATACGAAGAGAAATAAGTTAAACTTCTAGCAGACGGATTGTTAACATTATTGCCAGGATTAGCACCGAGTGAGTGCAAATGCCTTTCAGCGTAGAATGCTGGCGCGGAGGCGCGGTGGTGCGGTGGTCTTAAAGTTTGTGTACTTATTGAGATTTTCGGAT